CAGGAAAGCGTGGGAGGGCGATGGGGGCCTAGAATCTCGTACCAAGATGTTGTGTCGCCGGTATGGTGGCAATAATGGTAGAGTAGGTGACCAGCCCCGAATACGAAGATCATAGTTGTGGTTAGGATAAGAGCGAGATTTTGCCCCTCTGCTTCCTATTTTAATTAGAGAGGAATAGAGAATAGGCTCTGCCTCCATCTGTTGATGTCGAATGGCTTACACGTAGGTCCACGGCCAGCTTCTAAAACACTCCACTAAATTCGAGAAAGTTCAATATTTAACCCCGAGTTCGCAAGCCTCTCGGTATTTGACATCGAATTCGCAAGCCTTTCAATATTTAACCCTGCGCACGCGAATTGTTTCAATCCGACGGATTTCTATGATTTCCTCTCTTTTTCTATTTTCAAATACCTCTTCTCACTCATCAGGACACTGGAAATGACCAAAGTACCCTTGCCTCCTTATCCTTTACCGGATCGGGCGTTCCTTTCTGATTCGTGTTTCTTCATCGGGTCGTCGCGACCACACGGAGCAGCGAGGCCGCCCAACCTCGCCCGTTGCCGATGGCCGCCTGCCCGGTTCCCCTCCGCCCTCCTAGGTCCCTTCCGCCCGCTCAGGCCCCTTCCGCCAGCCGCCCTTCCCTAGCCCGTCGACTTAGGGTTTGGGGCGGCATGCTCGTCCGTCGCCGTAGGCCGGGCGCCGCCGGTCTCCCTGCTAGCATCGCGCCAGTAGGCTGTCCTCCCCCTCCGTCTTGATGGCTCCTCCTGAGTAAGCCCCCAATCCTAAATCTCTCTTATGAGTTTTACAGTACCTGTTGATTTTGGGGAGGGTCACAAAATTGATTTTGTGTCTCATTTATTTTTTATTGGTACACACGGTAGAGTCGATCCGGATGACGCATTTAGGCTGTGCATTCAGTTTTCTCAGTTAAGTTCAATGATGGTCGCTCTGTTGATGTGCCACGAAAATGTGATGAATGGGTTGTGGATTGTCGATCTTATAATTTGGAGATGCTAGAAATTGACTTGAAAGCTAGGCTCAATTGGGGAAGCGGGCAGCAGCCTGTAATACATGAGTTTGACATGAGTGGTGGTGGAGAAAGAAAATTGCTAAATGATACAGAACTGTCCCTTGCATTTTCGAAAAGGATGGGTGACAAGAAGTTGTTCTTGTTTGTTGATGTTGAGGAAAAACCCACAGAAGTGTTTTGTAGCTTTGTAACAGAGGCAGCAACGAGCAATGTGGGGCATGATAATGTCACGGGACCAATAGATTCATGCAAGGAGGCATTTGTTTCTCATGCAATGGACTGGAACAGTCTGGAGATTATTCCTCTTAGAGAAGATCAAATTGGTGCCGCACTTCCTATGATGGATGAAGATGTAATGTATGAGTTTGTTGGCCTCACGGCAGAGGATGAGAGGGTTGAGCAAGCTTGGATGGTGGCTGAAATTAATCTTGATGATGTGGACCTACAAGATGCATAGTTGTTGGTTGATGATCGTATACCTGGTGAGGATTCTGTGTTATATGACAGAGAAGACCCTCCAATGAATGCTGGAACCATATATGGTAGTATGAATGAATTCAGGGCTGTAGTGCGGCAGCATGCTATAAAGGGACAATTTGAACTTGCAACAGAGAAATCTTGCAAAGATTTGTTCAGAGGGCACTGCAAAGCTGAGGGTTGTCCATGATCTATTGTAGCAAGGTTGATGCCTGATCAAGTCCAAGTTAGGGTACTAACACTTTTAATATATGCAGTATGCTAACTTAATGTATTATGCAATATTAGTCCTCATGCATGTATGTTGTGTTACTAACATTTTTGTTTCTATTTAACAGGTTACATTGAATAAAGAAAAGCATTTTTGTCCATCTACCGGAAGATTGAGGACCAAGATGGCATCATACCATTGGGTAGCAGAGAAGGCAGTCCCCCTTACTAATGAAGGATCCAAACATGGGTGAAAAGAAAATACAAGAACAGCTAGATACCATTGTTGTGGCAGGAGAACAAATTCATGGGACATGGAAAACCATGTGCACATTCTTTGCTTCTAATCACCACACGTAGAAATCCTAAGATGGAATATTACCTTAATCCATACTACTCAGTGTACCATTTTAGACTAGCCTATGGTAGTGTGGTCAAACCACTACCTGATAAGTCTCAATGGGCAAGTGTGGATCCTAGATTTAAAGTGCTACCACCACTCGATAAGAGAGAGGTTGGAAGATAAAGGAAACTCAGAATACCTAGCTGCACTGAGAACAAGGGAAGCAAACCTAGGGGCAAAGGCATGTGGCAAGTGCAGTGCAAAAATTGCTTAGGTCATGGCCATAGGACAACATCCCCAAAGTGTCCTCTTAATGGAGCAAAGAAGAGGTAAATGTGTCTGCCTTTTTCGACCTAACTCATATTTTCTTCATATTTTGAACTTATCCCAGTTTTACATTTACAGGAAAAGTCAGGCCAAGAAAGGAAAGGCGGGTAGGCCTGCTGGTTCTACCAAAGGTGATGCGGCTCCTGGTCCATCCAAAAGGCAGAAGGTTCATGTGCAAGAAAATTTAGTGGATAATAGTCCTGGACGTGCAAGAACTAGAAGGCACAAGAGAAATTAGCACTAGTCCTGGACCTGTTACAAGAAGGTGAATTTTATAAACTGAACATTGACTTGGAACTTGGAACACTATCTATTTTTTAGGCTAAACATTTGTCTTATTTTTAGCCAAATGCAATTAACAATGGTGGAATTTGGAGGCACTAATCCGATCACTGCAAGCCCTAGAGCAATGAATAGAAGGTAAAATGATTCACCTTGTTTAACATGTTTGTGCGTATCTTACTTCATATACTGAACCAGTCTATTTTCCTATGGTATTTAGCCAAACTGGAGAAGGGGCGAGTAATACTATGGCCACTCTAAGGAAGAGGCCAGGTCTAAAGAAAAAACTCACTCCAAAGAAGGTAAAGAAGATCGATGTTTGAATATTCCTATAACAACGTTTGGAGACTTTTGTATTGTTCTAGATTACCTGTCATCAGGATGATTTTTTTGTTTATGTGAACCTATAATCTTAAATTGGCTGGATGATTCTATTGTCTCTATGTGAACTTATACTCTTTAAATTGCCTACATGGTTGTATTGTCGACTTGAACCTATTTACTAAATTGTATGGCTAATTCTATTGTGTACGCTGAAATTTGATTATAATCTATACGTTGTTTACATTGATTTGGACTAAATATGTTAGATATGTGTAAAATTTAAGTTCTGAGGACTATGGAAACTGTTGGGTGAGCCGGCAGGAAAGATGTCGGGGAGAAAAGTGCGCAAACCGAGAGAAGCCAGGTGCTGGGCGAGCGTCTAGACCACCAGAAAAGAGGGGAGGGTAGTATCGTCATTTCCTGTGGCCTAAACAATGTAAAGAGGCAGCGGGAAATAAGAAATAAGACAAATCCTTCATAATCCCTCGAATTGAAACAATTCGCGTGCGCAGGGTTAAATATTGAAAGGCTTGCGAATGGGATGTCAAATACTGAGAGGCTTACGAATTCAGGGTTAAATATTGAAATTTCTCACTAAATTCACTCTATCTTATCCCTTAAATCTCTCAAACTTATACAACTAAGGCCCTGTTTGGTTCTTTAGCTCCTCCTGAAATTCCTGTCACGTCGAATGTTTAGATACTAAGGAGCATTAAATATAAATTAATTACAAAACCAATTACATAGATGGAGACTAATTTGCGAGACAAATCTATTAAACCTAATTAGTCCACGATTTGACAATATGATGCTACAGTGAACATGTGCTAATGATGGATTAATTAGGCTTAATAGATTCGTCTCGTGAATTAGCCTCCATCTATATAATTAGTTTTATAATTAATTCATATTTAGTCCTCGTAATTAACATTCGAATATTCGATGTGACATAAATTTTAAAAGCGACTAAAGAACCAAACACCCCTCGTTCAATACTTGCCTGTTAGGGCCTGATCAGCCACTGCCTTGGTCGCTGGCTGTTTGCCGCGCCTTGTGAAGGACTTGCCCCACGTGGCAACAACAGAGCCAGCGTCAGATCCACCTACCAATTTCCCTTGCTCCCTTCAACCGATCTGCGAGAGGATCAGCAAAGTCAAACCAAATCACCCTTGTTCCTCTGTCTGATTTCGCTCGAGTTGCACGAAGACCAGCAACTTGCCCCAATCGCACCCAAACATTCAGATGGGGACTTGCCAAAATCAGCGATGAGATGGGGACTCGCCAAAATCTGCGATCAAGCTCGTGGATCTCCCGAAACTTTTGAGGAAACGGTGGGAGACCGACTTACCCCGGAAGGGAACGTGGCCAGAGTTCGCAGATCTGTAGGTGAGGGCTCACGTTCGCGGATCTTTGAATCATTTTGTATTGTACTCCTATAGATTACTCTTTCATGTAGTCTAGAATAGGAACAGAGATGACTGTAATCTCTGTCTAGCCCAGCGTTAAGATAATACAATTAGTTTATATAGTGAAGCTGACTGGGATCATCATCTGGCTTGCATTTAGCTAACTTAAACAATGTTATCAGTTGTTTCGTTTGTCTTCTAACTACCTCAAATAATCATGCTGACTTGCGGTTTGCTAGCTACTCAAATAAATTTAGATTTGGTTCTATTAGATTCATTTTTTTTTTTAAAGGATGGCTCCCAACTGTTAAAAAACTTTCTGAAGTCCCAAACGATCCCATACATCTATAACATCATAGCCTTTGTATTGTTGATCTTTATTTTTTTCGAATTAGGGATATTTCCCCGTTTCCATTACGAAGAACGGAAATACAACAGAGTTTAAGGCCTGTTCAGAGTAGCAAAAAGAGCAGACAGGTGTCCAGAAAACAACATAAGGCTAAAGCCTAACAGTCCACGCCAGATTACAATCCTGAGACCGATAACTACAGCCAACAAAAGAACCCTGGGCTGAAATGAGAGTGAAAGCTTCCAGGCTCCATCAGCAATCCGGCTCCTGTTCTGCATCATCTTCATCGGCGGGGTCTGGCAATAGGTTGGATCGAGCCACCGCTTGATGCTTCTTGGATAGTAGCTGTAGAGCAATCTTGATCATGGTGTCGACGCCTTTTATCAGCATCTCCTTGTCAACTTCTTTCTGAAGACCTGCCCAGAATTTCATAATCTGCCCAGAATACTCTTTCATGTATTGTTGATCTTTAGCAGCTGCAACTTCTGGTGGTAGCTTCTGCGTCAACGCAACATTTGCAATAGTACCATGTCCTCCGGGCAATCTCTGCACATGAATAGGGGAGAGGGAGAAGCGAGCTATGCTCGGAACTCTACCACTCAGGTATCCTCCGAACTCATATGCCTCAACCGTTTGGAATTAACATGCTTTCTACCTGCTCTTTTCTGTGGAATTAATATGCTTTCTACCTGCTCTTTATGTATTGTTCTTGACATTTCACAAATTTGGCTTGTTGTGAAAGTGGTGAAGGTCACAAAGATTTGGTTCACAATTTCATTCTTTGTATCTTTAGGTCCTAACTCCTAACTGGAAAGAGGTTTTTTGTAGGATTTAGTAACCTAGAGTACTCCCCCTTATTCTAAATAGACCACCACGGGGACTTAGGAGTATGATTAAATTTATGTTTCTATGCAGCAGAGTTGTACAGTTAGGTTGTTCAAAAATCTGAACAAAATCTACACTTCCCTCATAGAATGCAGGGCAAAACAGGATGAAGCATTTGATACAGGAGGCTATCACAAACTTGTGGAAAAATACAAACACCCACAAAAACGTAGTCATCGCTGATTTGGGATGCTCAGCTGGACCGAACGCACTGACCCTTGTTAAAACTGCAGTTGATGCAATATTTCACCATTGTTCAGATCATAAGGAAATAGTACCGGAGATATCAGTGCTGCTGAATGATCTTCCGGATAATGACTTCAACGACATCGCAAAGAGGTTGCATGCATTCCAGGAAAGCACACAGGATTTTGGTCCAGTTGTTACCGCTATTGTACCTGGATCATTTTACAAGAAACTCTTCACCAGTAATTCCGTGAATCTAGTTTTATCATCACATAGCTTGAATTGGCTATTTCAGGTAATCTATATAGTCCCTGACTTGCAATACTCTTTGGAGATTTACATAGGCATAATGAAATAACAGGTACCTGAGGATCTAAAGAAAAGCAGGATCCCTGTGTATGACAAAGACAAGGGTCTCAGGAAAGCAAGGCGGGCCTTCGTTGTTCAGGCTTTTAGCCAACAATTCAGAAAAGATTTCACAATTTTCTTGAACACACGGGCTAAAGAATTGGTCCCTAACGGTCAAATGGTGCTTTCCATGGTAGGCAGACCTTCCAGTGACACTGCCTACCAATCCGTTCAACCATGGGATTTTTTATTTGTGCCTTTAAATGACATGGCATCAAGGGTACGGTAAATTCTTCTGCCTGACTAAATGTTTCTTGTTTCGGCCAACTCATAAGTTTTCATTTGAATGCATAATACATATTCTGGGTTACGTGTCCAATTACACACATTGTACTCTCGCAAGAAAACTAACACACTTATACATTTCTGATTTAGCAGGGTGTGATCAGTAGAGACATGTTAGATTCATTTTACATTCCACTATATGGGCCTTCAGATAAGGAGTTAATGGAGATCATACAAGATGAAGGGTCTTTCGAGATCAACAATATTGAGGTGCATGAACAAATGAGTGGTGTAGACAAAGGCATGCAGACCCCAAAGATCAGGGCATTCGCAGCCAGGGCTGCATTCGAGCCAACAATCATCCAGCATTTTGGACGTCCGGAAGGAGTTATGGATGAGTTCGTTGGAACCATTGAGCGCCAACTCAGCCACGTTCCAGCTTCTCCTGCAGGCAGCTTACTTTTCTTATGTGTTTCCCTAACAAAAAGGGAATAGAATAATGGCGCATATAGTATTCCGTCGTGAATACTAGCATTGCTCACATGTCGGTGCTGTCATGGGTGTGCATCGCCAGGATCACTTGCTGGAAGACAACATAACTCCAAGAGTAAACACAGCAGCATTTGATGAAAGGGAAGCTCCAAAATTCTGATGTCACAAGAACTTCACACGACAGAAATCTCACCACACTATATTGAAATAAGTAGCCTATAAATTTGCAAGAATACAGAACAATAAAGCCATATACTAGCAATGAATAAATAAACAGGGTTCTTCAGTTTTGTTGTACATTTTCACAAGTTCTGCACCAGCACACAGGTAACTATATCTATTATCTAAGACCGTGTTGTTCTAAGAAATACATGTATATCACTATAAATTACATCTCTAGTCTAGGCCGTCTTGCAAGAATGAACCACAGCTGCTGTGCAGTTCAAGAGTTCCGGAGAGCTAAATAGGACAAGTCTTTATTCCCTTGTACACAAAACTCTCTTTTCTCTATCTTAATTGAAGGGCAGAGCTCCTCCAGACCCGGCCCGCTGGGGTTCGGGCCGGCACGGCACGCGGGCTGCTCGGGCCGTGCCGAATCGTGCACCGTGCCTGCTCTACGGTCCAGGCACAGCCCTATGGACCAGTAGTCGGGCCATGCCGGCCCGTTGAGCATGGCCAATTCTGCGGGCCGTGCCAGCCCACAGCCCGGTCCTCTTAAATCACCTTAAAAAATTTATCTCATACAACACTTAGCAAATATGACATTCTCAATCAGATCACAAGCACAGATCATAAGTTCTAAGTTCACAAATTACAACTTCTAAGTTCACATTCACAGATCACTTACCAAATTTCACATTCACAAATCAAAACTGAACTAAACTCCAAATGACCAAATCCAACAAAACAAAAGACACAAGAGAGACAATTAAGATAACTGAGCTGTTTGTGCAATGTTGCCTCATTAAAAATCTTTCTAGGTAAAACTCACCCTTGAAAGAAACTCTAGAAAGGAAAAAAGAGTGCAGCACAGCTCTTAATTAAGTCTTAAACATGTTCAAAGGTCTCAAGTCTCACAGAAAACAGATACATATTACAGTTACAGATCACACTCTCAACTCTCAAGTCTCAAGTCTCAACTCTCAAGATGTACCAGCAGTAGCACCTCCAGATGTACCAGCAGCACCCCTAGTCTCAACCAGCAGCACCCCTAGATGTACCAGCAGTAGCACCCCCAGATGTACCAGCAACAGCACCCCCAGATGCACCAACAGCAGCACCCCCAGATGTACCAGCTTCATTTTCATCGAGATATAAATTCTTGAAAGAATCCTCCAACTCTTGGTTGTCAACAACATAATGTAACCTTCTTTCTCCTAACTCCCAATCCTTTATGCAAGTCAGCATCTCCACAGTTTCAGGCAACAAACGCCGTCGTCGCTCCTCAATGATCCTTCCTACTAAACCAAAACATGATTTTGAAGAGACAGTAGAAACAGGAACTGACATAATATCTCTAGCCATGATAGATAGGATTGGATAGGTTAGTTTGTGGTCACGCCACCAGAGAAGTAAATCAAAATCATCCTCATATGCAGTGACATTGTCACTGTCAACATAAACTGTGAGCTCACACATAACAGAACCAGATGTAGATGAAGTGGGGGCAGAGGCAGGGGAAGGACCAACAACACCAGATCCAGGGCCTCCAAAGATCCTTCCCTATGCCTGTTTTCTTTTACCTGTATGGCTTGCAGGCTGTGTAGACCTTTGAGACCTAGCTGCACCAAACTTTCTGTCAAAACAACTTGTAAATTTCAGTTCTCACATCAGCATAATATAAATTGTAATCACAACCAGTATACTCTTTAAGTAATTGTAGAACATTAAATAGACCTCTCATCTTAGCTCTAGGATCAAGAATGAATATAACAGAGGTATGTCCTGCCAGTATTTAAGGAATTTAAGCTTCATAGGATATACAATAGACATTAGATTTTGATCTTTTTCACTTGCATGCAAATGTGAAGCAATATCAAGGGGTGCAAAATAAGTGGACTAGTTGGATAATAAACACCAGAAAGAACAACAGTGCTTTTATAAAATATTTCCATGAACTCTAATATCTTCTCAGCTACATGCCAATGCCTTGTAGACAACAATTGTGACCCATAATTGGTATTAATGAACACAGAAAAAACATCCTCATATGGAACCAAGTGTTTAAGCATAAGGTATGTAGCATTCCATCTAACATCCATATATAAGCCAAACTTTCTAGGTCTAACACCCTGAGCAGTACAGTAGTTCTTGAACATAGCAATTCTATGATTAGAGGAATTTAAGAAGTTAATAGCAGATCTTAAATCTTCTAAGTAAGGTTTGAACCGTTTTAAACTAGATTTTACAATCAGATTAATGATATGACAAGCACAACGTTGATGCACAAGACTATAGTAAACCTTAGAAGGATCTGCAGGCTCAGGTGAAGGATCAGCACCCAAATAACCAGCAAACAGAGGTGTCAAAGTACTCATAGCCCTAGCATTAGAAGAAGCATTGTCTAAAGTTATAGAGAAAACCTTATCAATCAGACCATACTCCTCATTCACACAAGCAATTCTTTCAGCAATATTTTCACCGGTATGTTTCACCTCAATCAACCTAAAACTAATAACCTTTTTCTATAACTCCCAATCAGCACTGACATAATGAGCAACAACAGTAATGAAGTCTTCCTTAGCATTACCAGATCAAATGTCTGAAGTCAGTGCAACAGAGGAAACAATAGACAACACATGATTCTTAAGCATATTACGATGTTCAGTAAACAACTTACTAGGATCTCTGGTGGTGGTCTGTCTAGATATCTTAACAAACCTAGGGTTATGAGCACGAACAATGTACTTCTCCTAGGCCTCTGCCTCACCGATACCTAATGGCAGATCAAGCCTAGCAATCAAGCGACACAACTCAAATCTAGCAACATCAGATTTATAGTCCCAGTTATACACAGAACCATCAGGATTGTAAGCAAGCCTAGACTGAACCCTAGCATGTTGATCAGTTTTTTGCTTACAAGATTTCTAGTGTCTCTTCAAGTGACCAGTACCAACACTAGATCTAGCAGACAAAGTACTCTTACACATTTTACAGGTAGCTTTAGTACAAATCTTAACTCCATTCACAGTCTCATAGATCTCATTAAAATCAGCCCACATAGCAGATTTACGCTTACCAACGGAGGTACCAGTACCAGCAACAGATGGAGTAGAGCTGGTCGAGTCGACCGTGGTCCCAGTCGCCGTCGCCCCTTCACCACCGCCACCGTCCAGATCGATTGAAGCATAGCCGTCTTCGAGATCGATACCGAACAACGCAGCAGCGTCGTCACGGGTGTCGTCATCGTTCTTGCCCTCGGGGGCCAGGCCTGGTGGAAGGACGCCATCATCTTCAGCCATGGCCTCTCCAGCCCCGTTCCTCAACGGTGCGAGTGGCTGCCTTGGTCGCTCTATGCCACTGCTAGAGGACGAAGCATCGGCTATCGACATGCGCAAAGAGATGAAGGAGGAAGAGGAACAGACAGAATCAGAAACAGTCACACAGATCAAGATAGAAGAAGAGGGTTAGGGTTAGGGTTTACCTGCACAATCGGAGCCCGCTGCTAGAGAAGACAACGGCCACCAAGAGAAGACGATACACCATTAGCAAGGACGGCGAGCGGCAGCGGAGGAAAGACAGTAACAAGAACTCACATAATCACCAAGATCTAGAGGGGTCGAGGGGAGAGAGGGAGAGGGAGACAGGAGAGAGGGATGGTATTAGGGAGTAGGAGAAGGGAGCGGCTCGATGGCGGTAGGTGGATCGAATCGAGGTCACCAGAGTCAGGGGAGGTCACCAGAGATGGCAAGGCGAGAGCGAGAGCGAGAGTGACTCGAGAGGGCGGAGCGACGCGGGTGGGTGCCTGCATGGGGAATGAGATGACCGAATGATTTAGGGTTTGGTGAGGGAGGGGAGAGGGAGCCGGTGCCGCTTATATACGAAGGGGGAGGCGGAGAGTAGCTGGGCCGTCACCTTGTGCCGTGGGGGAGAGGGGGAGGCGGAGAGCAGCTGGGCCGTCGCCTTTGGACCGTGGGGGAGAGAGGGTGGCCGGCCGCTGTCGGGCCGACCCTAAAAAGCCGGGCCGTGTCATGCCAGCCCACGGGCCTAGGGTACAGCCTAGGCACGGCCTGCTGTACCGGGCCGTGCTCGTGTCGGGCTAAAAAAACAGGCTTCGTGCTGTGCCGTCGTGCCTCGGGCTGCATGGACATTTATATTCATGATGAAAAGGATGAACACATCGGGTCGCATCTTCTAGATGTTGCTGAGGACAACATCCCTCGGGCTTGGGCTACTCATGTCGACACCTTCATCCATCAAGTTTCCAAAATGGAGGATGCTATTGACAATGAGTACCTCATCAGGGTCGATGTCCAAATCATCAACGCCAACCGTCTCCCACTTAGCCGTAATGCCACGGTACTTGAACGACACGCCGAACTGAGAGGCATAATTGCTAAGCCGCCGCCCTGTCTCCTTGACCAGAGAAGCTGGACGGAACCCAGGCTAGGGAAGATCAATGCCAGTAATCCTCACTTCCGGTGGCCCACCCGGGCATATAGATAAAAACTTGAGCAAACCAGGCCACTGGGACCCGTAATGTATGCCATAATCCATAATGTGCACCTTCTTCCTCCCTGCAATAGCCTTGTAAATGGTCAAATTGGCAAACTTGAACGCCATCACTCGAAAGCAGCAGGCTGCTGCGTACAGCCGGTAGGCGTTGAGGAAGTCCACAACCGAGATGCGCTTTGCCATGAGCGAATTGTACACCTGGCTCCCTGAACCAGCAAGCCACGCCTCCAATCCCTCAGCAAAATAGTGCGCCAGCCTTTGTGTGGCGTCTCCCCGTGGAGAAGAGTGCTGCTTGATCTTCCTAAGCAGATCGGCCGCGCTCCGATGGT